TAACATAGTTTAATTTATATACCTAATCTCTGAGGTAGCACTTTGGTAACGGAAGAAACCCCAACATAGAACAGGGATATTGGCAAAACAAGCACGAGCATAAACGATGATCCATGTTGCTTCTGGGTGATCACCTTTTGCTCCTTTCACAATTACCGTGGCTACAATAAGCTGGACCAAAGACATAACCAAGTCGAACACATTCAGAGCAGTTGCCCATTTGCTGTTTGGTGCTTGCATAATTGATGCAAAATCGAAATTGGCTGCCACGTCGACGATGTGCTCATCTGATGATGATGATGAATCGCTATTGATTGTGGTATGCTCATTCTTGCTCAACAAAGGGCCCTTCATTTTAGCTAGTTTTGGTTTACTTCTCGTCCAGTCCATCATCCAAATACGCAAACCATTTATAGACCTTTCCAAATGATTTATTCATTTTTCTCATGTAGATCTTTCCAATTCTATGGTCCTACATTATTGATTTTAAGACCCACTCTACGTAAATTTCATAGTCTTTTACGATGAAACACATAGAGCATTGACCTTTCTAATGACTTGGTGCTAAATTATTATTTTAATAAGACCAATTATACAGACCAATCCTAAGTCCACTATTATAGTCTTTTCCAATGAAATAATAGATAAATGATTTTGTGCTTGACTATACGTAGTATGTTACAATCAAACAAAAAGCATAGACCTTTGGTGCTGTATTATTAGTTGAAATTATGTACTGAAAATTCAAAATGACAATATTGTTGAAATTACTTACGAAAAGGACTTGAGTGAAAAGAATATCCAATTTCCACTAAACCTAGACCATGTCCATATGAATTAATGGTCTACGGCAGCGTAGGTAGTATACAAGAATATGCACAAGCCATCGTGTCTTTTAGTTTTGCCTCGCTCAGCGATTTCGAGAAGAGGACGGTCATTAAATGGCACATGACTTTATTTGATAAAAATATAGAGAGTGTTACAACAATTCTTGAGCAAAAGAAAAAAAAAAATAACAACGTGCATGATCCATTATTTTCATCCGCAGATAGACTGGCCAATGAATGTAATGAATCCCCAAAGGCCGCCAATACATAATGTCACAGACATACAACAACACATCGCTGCACATAAAAGACTAGGAAGCACATATCGAATGAAACTGAAAACAATAAGAACCACACTTAACCTGCAAGATGAGAAACGAAATAATGATAAGCATTGATATTAGAGAAGTGAATTCTGTTGATCTCAGTTTGGAGGTAATTATAAGTAAAAATTGTTCGTTGCGTACCAGAAGAGTGGACTAGTATGATCTAGAGATGATGAGTTGCTAACAAAAAACCATAAGAACACAATCGACCAACCCACGAAGAAATATTCAAGAACCATCTTCAAAATGATCATCACCGAGTTGACTCTGAAAAACCATTCAACCCATTAACGATTTTGGTTTCTAATAATGCTTATGAAAAAAGGAAGAAAAAAAATATATAACACAGTTTACATACTCTATTTCTGAGATAGCACTCTGGTAACGGAAGAAACCCCAACATAGGATAGGGAGATTGGCAATACAAGCACAAGTATAAACGATGATCCATGTTGCTTCTGGATGATCATCTTTTGCTCCTGTCACAATTACAATGGCTACAATAATCTGGACCAAAGTCATAACAAACTCGATCGAGTTCGAAGCAGTTGCAACCATATATGGCACTTGCATGATCGTTGAAAAATCGTCATTGGCTGCCACGTCGACGATGTGCTCAGCATTTGTTGATGAATCGCCATTGATTGTGATATGCTCACTCTTGCTCAACAAAGGGCCCTCCATTTCTCACTTTTAGTTCTGTTTTTCTTCTGTTTATCGTCCGATCCAGTTCCGCAAAGTATTTATAGACAGACCATTCCAGTTCTCTGGTGCTAGACTATTATTTTAAGACCAACTCTAATTACAGTCTTTTACAAGTGTTATAGTATTCTTTAGTGCTAAATAAAGCTCCTCTTGTACGATGAAACCATTATGTTAAGACCAACTTTTCATCAGGTAAGTTATTAAATCATTTGGAGCTAATTAAGTTATAGTAATCCTTTTACAATGAAACACAAAGCATTGACCTTTCCAATTATTTGGTGCGAAATTAGTTGTTAAAGACTCAATACACACTGGCCGAATCTAAGTTATTTTTTTCGGGTTCAAACTCTTAATCTAAGTCAACTGTAATCTACAATTAATGAAGTAGTTATTTCATTTTAACTTTTCATAATTTGTGACGGCGACAGATTAAGAAGACACAGAAGAAGATGGTTCTTGAACACGATCCTTTTTTATTAAGGAAGGATCGTGTCTTTCAGTTTTGCTTCAGGTTCGACACTTGTGAGTCTCTCATGTTATACACTTCGCTGTATTTGAAATTTTACAAGTAAAGCTCAACCTCACTTTTAAAGAAAGTAAAACTCAGCCTCGTATATTTGTGTTGTAAACATGTTCAAAGTCTACGCACAATTACTATCTAAATGTGTTGCCGTGTTGGACAGGTTAACATGTGGTTGACAGAGAGGGCATGTGGACTCAGCCATTTTTCTATACACACGAGTCGTGCGACTATGCAACCTTCCTTATTTATTCTTCTCTCCATAATTGCCCAAGCAGATGCAACAATACTATACAGTACCATTTAAATAGTCACACAAAAAAGGTCTTTAATCATCAAGGAGAAAAACGTTCTTACCAAAACCCATTCCATGTACATTAGTCTTAATTCTGAGTCAGATCCACCAACAAGTTACAGCGTTGACTTTTCAAAATCATACAAAATCATATAAACGTAATTTGTTTCTACTCTGAACGAATCTTAAGCTGAGAAGATTCATGCGGTAACTGTATTTTGATTATTTGAACATGTCTCAAACTTATAAAGGATCAATATCTCAAGCATCGAAAATTCGTGTAAGTAAACATGTCTCGAGTCTCGACACAAAATGTTATCCCATTGCCATTCTCTTCTCATCATCCCCTGACCATAGATTGACAAAGAGGACATGAGGGTTTGACTCTCAGCCATTTGTCTATACACTTAAAATGAAAAACGTGCGAGCATTCAAGTTTCCTTATCACGTCTTCTTTATCTCCATATCTCCCAAAGCAGATGGAACAACACTGCACAGAGTACCACTAAAATTAATACGAGGCAAGAAGATCAATATACCTACGCTACGCGCATAATAGAACTGAGTGATATGAAAGAAAATGGCTTTTTAAAACAGAGTGATGTGATATTGTTACTCACATCATCAAGGATCGGTCCTTCCAAAACAAATCCACCTCCTTGACCTTCTCCTTCAGAATCTACATCATTTGATGATCTCAATTTTTTACACACCACATATGATAGAAATAACATTCAAAACTCTCGTGAACAAATAACAAATGCTACAAGGCAAGAAGAGACAAATACCTGAGCATAAATGCAATAGAAAAGCTGCAATGCTAATGCAACTGAAAACAATGAAGACTATACATAACCTTCAAAAAGGACAATCAAGAAGACAAAAGTGAGTATTAATTGATTAGTTAATTGGAGTTTAATTAGTCCTCTTTTGTTTTTAAGACATGAATGTGAGTCGAACTTGTAGAGTTTAGGAGCGGCAGAAGGAGATGAGTGGCTGTCACATATCCACGCAATCCCCAAAATTAACCACAAAGCAAAGAAACATTGAAGCCCGATCTTCAAATCTTTTATCACTCCATCCACACTGCCACCAAATATCGGTTCAGTTTGTTTTAGCTAATGAAACCCATCAATCTCAATAATAACAACACAAAAATTAAAGAAACATAATCATATGTTTTTGTATATCACAAAGCAAGAGCTATTATCATACCTTGTCGTATGGTATTCCTCAACTTTGTTATATTTGCGTAAGAACCAACACAGGGTAAGAAGCGTACTGATAATACAGCCACAAGTGTAACCAATGAGCCATGCTAACAAAGGTGCATGTGGGTGTTCATCTTTTGCTAGAGTCAGAACTACTAATGCTACAACAATCTGCACCAAAGTGAATGCTAATTCGATCGAATTCCACAGACTATCACAGTCACTCGTACACGAATTTGCACCTTCATCTGACGCTTCCTCGTGCATAGACTGCAGAGACGATCTTGATATAAAATAATTGCTTCTTTCATCCAAAGACGATACTGATAAAGAATCGTTTGGAATGTCGATGATGTGCTCATCATTGTCACTGTGGGTTTCGCGCTCCATCATCACAAAGTCTTGTAGAATTTTCGGTTGTGTTATTAATCGGCTAAAAGCCAGACGAGGATATATTGTACACTACTATACATGATCGAACGAAACCTAAAAATGCGTACATGGAAATTTAGCTAAAAACACAAATGGAAATTTAGCTTATATATATGCCAACATATATGCACATTCCAAAAATGTACCGAGTTCGTCAGGTAATAACAAAAGTATAGTGTACACGTGTGTAAATGATGAACGAATGAGATGCGTCGACAATTTTTTTATAAAAGGGACAACGATTAATGTATCGATGGAAACATATATGTACTGTGTAGAAGAAACGATTAATGTATCGATGGAAACATATATGTACTGTGTAGAAGAAAAAAATTATACATGTACTACGTATATTGTTGATATGCCGTGTATAACTTGTCTTAGCCTTGGGTAAAACGTGTTCGGTTGTCGAGAAACATGAGAACTTAAAATATATGTACATATTAATGTGCATTATTATGTAGTCGACCATGAATATGTTGTTATAGTTTTATGTCGTTGATTAAAAGAGCCGGAGACATAACATATCACACATAACATGGGATGTCCATAGATTAGTATTGTGTTTCTAATCCAACGGCTGAGAAACAAACCCTACTTTTTCGGTAATAAAACCGTAGCCGTCCGATCTGTCCAACCAAAGGAACCATATTGTCGACCTTTGAACACGAATCGGCAAAAGAATGAAAAGAAATGTCTTTAGATTTCGACAAGATCTTCGAATGGGGCCGACAAGATTAATCAATGCTAAACAAGCTCGTCTCAAACGGTATCGTTTTGGTTCCCATGAAAACATATAAAACGCCCAACAAAATGAAAATGAAAACACATCAACACACTTTTTCAGTTATTAGCATCAAAATGGCGAATGAGATTAATCTTGGACTCGAAATCACCGAGCTGCGGCTAGGTCTTCCCGGAGATATCACCCTCTCCGGTGAGACAATCAACAGCAAGAAGCGGACTTCTCCGGAAGTAAAGAGTGACTTGAAATGTGAACCGGCGACAAAGAGTCAAGTTGTGGGATGGCCACCGGTTTGTTCGTACCGGAAAAAGAACAGTCTCGACAGGACCAAGACTACGTACGTGAAAGTGAGTGTAGACGGAGCTGCATTTCTAAGGAAGATCGATTTGGAAATGTATACATGTTACCAAGATCTCGCTTCCGCTCTGCAAACTTTATTCGGATGCTTTATCAATTTTGGTTAGTTTTGTTCTCTATAAGTCTTTTTGCTTTAGGTGTTTAATCAAAGGGTTTTAATGATCAAAGCATTAGTATTAACTATAATGTTTGTGTATGAAATTGAAGATGATACACTGAAGGAAAGTGAATGCGTACCAATATACGAGGACAAAGATGGAGACTGGATGCTTGTTGGTGATGTTCCTTGGGGGTACGTTTCAGTTTCCTCTATAAGCTTCATTTAGTTACGTATTCTTCAATTCATGTCTAATTAAAATTATGCAATTTTTTTTCGCAGAATGTTCATTGGATCATGCAAGAGGTTAAGGATTATGAAGAGATCATGTGGCATGTGAGCGAGCGAGCCTTAGATATTATCTAAATATACACAAGTCCCATTTGGTTAATACAACATATGTTGCATTGCATCACATATAGTCAACATTTCTCTTCGGAAGTCAAAAGGTTTCCGAAATTTTTGAACCAATCAATGATCAGTAGAAAAATTGTTCATCTTTTGGATACTAGCTTAAAGAGTTGAAGGTGGTTTGGTTTCTCTGGTTGTAGCATGACAATTTACTATCAGTATAATCAATAAAAACAGTAAGATAAAAAGATGAAATGATATAAATATTTAAATTTAATCTACCTCATCGGAAAATAAAGATTCCGAATCTGTTTACATTTGCCTCAAGATGGGAGAAAAATGTACATTATCATTACAACTAAAATAACCTCTTGTTATCGATTATATGAAACCGGGTTTGGAAGAATCAAACCCAAGTTCAAACTAAACCAAGCTAAACCGAATTCTAATCAGATATTAGATGAGTGGGACCGTGGGAGCAGAGTAACAAGGACAAACCGGACCACACCAATGTTACAGAACTATTATCGGTTAGGAGTTGAACCGTTCGGTTTAGCACTTCAGAATAGCGTGTCAAGTAGTTTTGGAGATCTGAGGACTGCCACTGATTTGAACTGCAAATCCAAAAATTGTCATATGAGAATCTGAGAAAACCGAATGCAAAAGATACCAAACCGGGTTTACTTTGTGTAAACTTACCTTCTCTTGCCTGTACTTGACGCGTATGGAGCTCAAGGGGCAACCTTTGGTGTTAAGCTGCAGATCTTGCAAGGCACAAACAGATGCTTTCAGATCTGATGCTTTGTACGTTGTGTAATGCTCAAGTGTTGGATTCTGATGGAAGAAAAGAAAAAAACAAAAAGAAGTTAGAGATCCAAGATTTGTGGAACTAAACTGTGTCTGGATACAGAGAAAGAGAAGCAAGAATACAGACCCATGGGTGTTTTGATTGGTCCATTGTCCACTTGGCAAGAAAAACGGCAGAAGCAGCGATGACGGAAGGAAGAAACTTCAAGAAATGATACTCCATTAACGTCAACTCCGTCAGGTAGCTGGCTAGAAACTCGACTTCAAGACTCGGTCTCTAGAGAAAAGCAAATCAAGAAACAGATAAGTTCTCAAATCTTTCTGCTAAACTTTGTAATAGGAACAAATAGGCGAGCATATTGCAAAATGCAATTACCTGGTGAGAGGCGTGTGCTGCTCTGAGAAATCTCCTGAGGAACGTTTTTGGAGTGGGAGTGTATATTTGAAAGCTAAAATGCTTCAGCACTTGGTTTTCCATTTCAAGGACCTGCAACGTCGTGATCCCATTCGCATGTTAGTACAATGCACACTTTCTTTTTCCGAGGTGTTAAGGAATAAGGACAGCAATCTCGGTATATACCTGATCTCTTGTGTAGGTGTTATCCGTGATGAAGCAAAACTCTTCAATGCGTGGCGCATTGATTTCCTCATACTTCCTGTAAAGTTTGAAGAAGAAACAAACAAAAAAAGTTTAGTTTTATTTGCATCTGAGACGAGGTTCCGTTTTACTAGTGAAATTACAGAGGAACCTACGAGGCAATTAGCATGCAAGTAATGCCGAGAAGTTGAAGTCTCTGTCTTTCCACGTAGTTTCCATGGAGGAACCAGTCTATGAGATAGATTGTGAGGTAAAGAGTGTCAGGTACAAGCGTGTATTCTTCAGAGACCTGTGATTGAGAATGAGACTTTTTTGAGAACCTAACACTTGAGCATTAGAAGCTGCAAGAGTTAGCATCAGAAGTGGAACTAAATACTAACCTCAACAAGCCAATCAACCAAAATCCCTCGCATGGTCTGAGTGACATCCTTCTGTATTCTCTCCATAAAGTCAGGAACCGGTCTGCGATTAAGCTGCTAGGAGAGAAGTGACATGGAAGCACAAGGACTCAAATTTCCAGTGATTTGGCTTACTAAGTTACTTAAGAGACTATTAAGCCATGTGAATTACCTCTGAAACACGCAAGTTGTAGTAGATGTCAGGTGCATAGAGGCAGCAGAGTAGAGGATCCTTGTCATTTGAATCAATGTCTATGAATTTTGGGATAACCGGTGCAACAGAACTACCAACAACAGCAATTTTCTCAACTGTAACCATTTGCAGAGAAGATTTATAAATCAGTAAAGATCACTCCTTTATACAATTGGAACTAATCACATGAAAATTTCTGTTTAATGGATCATCACCTGTAGAAGCTGATCTTCCAAGAGATCTTGGGGATACTCTGAAATTCAACTTCTCAATACAGTTATCAGCTGTGTCATCAGTGCCTTTACATAGAGACAGGTTTCCTCCTGTGACTGATACAGCTTCTGCTTTCACATCGGTCCCGGACTGAAGATCTGTGACTCCTGAAGTAACAGAAGATGTCAACTGGGAATTACTCGCCGGGGATTTCACCTGCTTGATGCTTTTGGCCTGAAAATGGCAAAACTAATGTTCAGAAGATGCACCTTTTACTTCACAAGATCTTCACAGGAAGCCAAAACCTTATAAAGAAACATAAAAGTACTTTTAACAACCTCAAGTGTAGCTGCACTGAAGCTGACATTTGAGATATCTCCAAGAACAGCTCGCTTCATCTTCTTCTTGGGTGCAGTGGCTTTCAGATCCTCCAAGGCTGGCCTTTTTGTGTTTGCTCTCTGCTGATTCTGTGTAGTAGTAGAAGTCACTTCTGAAGTGCGCAAAGCAGACGCAAAAGCACGAGTAAAAGGACGAGAGACAGCATTTTCCTTCCCCATATTTGAAATCCCACTAGAAGACACAACCTTACGTCTTGAGTTTTAAAGCTGCATCATCTCCCTCCGATCTGTGAAATCAAAGTCAAGAGAACGAAACTATCAATGGTTAAGAAACCCTGCAATGGAGAGATCAATATCCAGGAGAAATAGTTCAATGCAAACAAGGTAATATGAGAAAGATTGCCAAATTGAATTAAAACTAGACATTCATGACTACATGATTCTTGCGGAGGTTTTTTCTTTGGAAACTTTCCAAGGAAATTGGTCCGTTGAACAAGAGAATCAATGGGAGATACATTCAAGTTCCAAGCTTTAAACTTTTCAATATCCGTAAGATTTAGGATCAAAACTTATACAATTTCCATATCGACCAATGCAAATGGTAATACAGAGAAAAAAACATTGAATTTTACAGAAAAATCTAAAGAAAATATCTCCTCAAAATTTGAAGAAGAAAGTATTAGGAAAAATAATATTTGTGAATCTAACTACTCTTTCTTTCTTTGCTGGGTTTTTATATAAATATATATCATGCATACAAAAAAATAATCGGAAGAAATGCATCAGACATGTTATCTTGAAAAGCAGCCACATTTTCTCCGGAAACGAACAGATCGTGAGAAACCTTGGCAAACCCATGAATCAGAGCAGCAACATCTACTAAAATTTCAAAGAACCCACAAAAATCCAATCTTTAGAAACAGCAGAAATCAACTCACATTCTCTTGTAATTAAGAAAACAAACTTTAAAAAAAAAACTCATTGGAACTGCGGCGGTTCAAACGCAAACGAAATGCAGGTAAGCGGATGAACACGCATGAGCATAAAGTTCAAAACTTTATAACAGAAACAACAAAATAAGGAAAAAAGATTGAGATTTGACCTGCGTAGCTCCAGAAGATTTCTTTGAGGAAAAGAAAAAAGAGAGGAGCTTGGGCAGATCGAGATGGTGAATACGCTCTAGGGGAAAGAGAGCGTCTTTGGGAGTGAACGAGACAGACACTAGAGTGATTTAAACGATAAAGAAGCCACATTTAGAAAATAATTTATTAAGGAACGAAAAAAATGTTAAAACTTTACTAAGAGCATGTGCAATGGTAAGCTTCACATGAGTTTCTTTAACAATAATAAACAAATGAATCTTGGAATAAAGAAAAATGATTTTCAGAAAGAAAAAAAAGGTAATGAATCACATAATGACACCTGTAGAAATCTTATGCACATGAGTCGGCTGCTTTAATGCCATATGGGTATTTATTTGTTTTATTTCTTTTCTCTTGGGTTAGAGAGACTATGAAAAACTCTCCAGTGCACTTGCTCTAACGACATTAAAACAGTGACTGGAAAAAGAAAACATTAAAATAATGTTTTGTGTACAGAGAACGAAATATAATTTGACCGGTTTACCCTAACATATATGGGTATGGGGGAAAGAGATAAAGGAAGTGAGTTTATTGGGGAAATTTAGTTAATTTAATAATTAGTGCCTTAATCTTTTTTGAATTTAGTAGGGAGGCTTAAAGCCTTAAACATAGATTTGGTTGATGGCTACGTGAGATCTGGGTAATTAACATTTGTATGCCTCATTTATCATCCTCCTACGTACAATGGCATATGTGCCATTATGTCACCGTTTACTAATTAATGTGAAGCAACCGAGCTAGTATCCCTAGCCATTAATACAACTTTTTGTTTTTGTTTTATTGTTTTCTTTTTCTTTTTGGTTCAAATGTTTTGTTTTTTTCACTTTTCACTTTTGAAGTAAATTTCTCTAAATGAGGAGAGATATAATAAAAGTCCAAATCGGAGGCCCCAACTTCGTTGCGATTGGTGGATGTCAAATGCTGCAGAGATCTTGTTTTCTTCTGAACAGCCTCGATCGTCTTCTTCCTCTTTAGAATTTTGTTGATGTTTATTGTCTCAACTTAGTTGCTCTTGTTGTGGTTGTGTATATAGTCTTTGTTTTGCAAAAAGCAATTAAAACCCATACAGAAAAAAAAATAGTAAAAAGTAGAGATGATAGAAGATTAGATAGATATACTTTAAAATTTAGGCATACACAATACACTAACACTGGTTAATCACTCATCATATTTTAAACTATGCACCATATCGACTCTCAGCTGATTCAATAAAAGTTTTATCTTCAAAGTTCGAAAGTTTACAGAAGTATTGCAGACAACAAAACAAATTAAAGCTTGGGTGTGTATGATGAGTCAACGTTACATGATCGATCCTTTTTTTATAGAATGATAATTTCTTTTGAAATTAGTTACAACATGTGACTCGATAATCAGAGCCTTGCGAGTTTTGAATTCAAAACTTGGTTGGCTGTCTATCAAAAAGTCATTATTTTATTTGACTTACTCTAAAGTTTAATAATGGCTATAAAAATGATAGTGAAATGGACGTAACAAGAAGTCATGAACCTAATAATAAAGTTTATCCGCACAAACCAAAAAGTTAGTTTCAAGATTTAGAACACACAACCACACTCACACAAAGTAAAAGAGAGATATGAGATTCATTTATAAAATTATAGAAAATTTACTGTATTGGTGGTCCAGTTTCAATTTTTGAACTCCAACTTTCCCTCCACTCCCGAATCCCCTACCGCATTTACCACACACACACACTCACACTCACACTCACACTAAGATGTGCATTTCTCACACAATGAATGAAAACGATATATAGATTCAAGTGCTTTTTTACATAATGGATGTGCTTGGTGGTCCAAATCTACTCTAAAATTTAAACTATACAGTTATCACGTGAGTCCAATTGTAATCAAACGAATGTGGCTTTAAAATTTTTAAAATGAAAGAAACAGAGAAATCTAAAACTGAATATTTATGTTATGTTATCTTTTGAGATAGATGGTCCCTTTTGTTTTTGTGTGACGACTGGTCCCTTTGTTTATTTGTAGTGGACGTCAGCGGACGTTAGAAAGATATTTTAAAATTAGACTTTCTTTTTGAAAATTTTAAAGGGGATACATTCAGAAGCAATTTCAAAAGCTTATTTTGTTTGCAACTACTGCTGACTTTTGTTGGCTCTCTCATAAATTAGACCCATACATAAGCCCAATACACCAGGCCTTCACCAAGTTATAAACCGAAATGTTGGGCTACTCCATCAACGTTGCTCCGGTCGCCCTCCTTCGCCGCCGAGCGAGACACATGACATCTCCGACAATCACTAGTTCAGAAGTGAGGGAGGCAAAGAGAGAAGAAGATTTCCGCTAGAGTTTTGGAAATTTCAACGTGAAGTCGATTGCGGTAAAAGTGTTGGAAGGGTGGTAAGTAATTTGCATGATCACTTGAGCCTAGCGAGAATATACGCACTCGAATGATCGTATGACACTCTACCAATTTTCGAAAGTCGCAACGCACTTATCTATATCAATTTGAGAACGGTTAAAGGTTAGCTGAGAGTGGTTTCAAGTGTTGTTATATATATGTTTAAACCAAAATGGGATCATTGTTACATAAGAATCGTTTCAGGTAAGCCAGTGTTGTTTACACTGAGTATGTGGCTTTGGCTGGGAGATGCACAAAGTTACAGTGGAGACTGATCTGACAAACGTGTGCAGAGACGCGTCAATGAGGATAAAGAACATGTGTGATTTTGGAAGATCTCGAAAGATCCAATGGCGATGTGTGATTTCCAAGAGGTACTGAACAAGGTGCAGCCACGGATATGGACAAGTGGTTCCCAGAGTTCGAGTCAGCGAAAAAATGTCCAACTGGATCGCTACTTTGTTAGTTTGTTTTGTTTATAATTTATCTACTACGCATTACTTTCTTACACCATTCTCGTTTCTCTCTTTTATTTCTAAAAGTGGTTCTTGTCGTCATGCCTCTCTCTAGTCTCTACTGATGTCTGTACTGAACTGCGTACAGCTTTCCGACTTTTATTTGTATAATACAATAGTAGCTATTTGTGTATCTATCATATATAAATATATATAATTTGTTTCTGCCACCTGGATATTACATATATATTATAGGACGATATATACATTATATTCATTTGTGAAACAAAATTACGAGTTGCATCTTTTTTTCTATAATTTGCTATTGAAATCAAGGAAAAAAAAACAGAATATTGGAATCTTAAAAACTTGGGTTGGTTTTTGTTTTGTCAACTTTTTTTCAAAAGAAAGTGCAAGTGCAACACAGGACTTTTCTGAAAGTTTTACTTATCCTCCTAGTACAGTAGTACTCGAAGGAATTATATAATCGGGGTTCGCTCTATGGGAAGAACTATATAAAAGACAAGAAATCACCGTTGCACATATCCTATTGAAAAATAAACTTTTACTAGCCAACAACTAGTTTCTTTTATATTTTGTTCAATTAGATTTTTTAGTCCAACAAGTGGATGTCTTGTCAGCAGAGCTACATCCAGTGAGGTCAACAAATCCAGACGATTGGTTAACGAGAGAAAGAGAAGGCTTAGTCGGTTAAGTCAAGATGAAATGCGATTCCTGCATGGTTTATATGTTTTGTTTGTATGCTCAGCTATAAAAGAAACAAATGATTTCTCAATTAAGGAGGAGGTTTTACAGCTTATAGGAGAACTGAACGAATATGTACAATCCGTTTTTACGAATGAGAGAACGGACACGTGGAGTGTTTAGTCATATTTTGGCCATCTTCCAAACTAATATGGCGATTCACGATTGGGTTGGATCGCGCTAGTATAATATGAGGTGAGCTTGCAATTTCAGACTAATTGTGCATTGTTTATATAACTTCAAAATTAAAAGAAATGTGACTAAATGCCTAAAAAAATCTCGCATACATCATTTTTTTTTTTTATAATTATCTGCTTAGTTACGTAAAACACTCATATTCTATCGGAAGTTTTTTCTATAAGAAAATTGTCAGCGGCAAAATAATTTTATCCTTCATGTTTCCTCATCTATTCTAACATTGGAAATTGTCATTTTGACCTCTTCTTATCAACAATATGATAAACAACAAACTAGAGGT